TTACGCTGTGTAGTGGCCATGTTAGCTTCTGAATTACTGCCCCTGCCAGCGTTTAAGCTGTCTAGGTTAAGCTGTGAGGTGGCCATGTTTGTTTGTCAAGTACCGCAGTTGTCAGGGTTTAAGTTGTAAGGTGGCCATGTTTGTTTGCAATATTTGCCACAGGTTGAGATGTGTGGTTGTTTGCTTCTGAAATGCTGTGCTTGCCACGGGTTTAAGCTGTGATGTGGCCATGTTTGCTTCTGATATTGTGCCTGCGACGGGGTTGTTAGCTGCCAAAGTACTGCGCCTGCCACGGGCTTAAGCTTTTGAAATATTGGGCCTGCCGCTTTAAGAGATCTGTTGAATACGCCCCGCTCCCCAGCGGCAATGCTGCGTCAGTGTGAGATGGACTGAAGCTGTCATATGCTTCTTTGCAGCGTTCCACAGCAGCATTGCCGCCGGGGGTGTGGGGGTTCTGCGCTGCCCGCGCAAAAACTATCGAGACAGGATCACATGTAGTTGAGGCCATGGCGGCCACATGGTGTGTTCTTTATTTCGCAAGAGAGACGGAACATATCGAGGGACGAAACTCTGCATGTGCTTTGAAGTTAAGGTCCCACACGGGGCATGTGTCCTCATTCTGGACTGCAGGCTTTCATGAAAGCAATGGATATCTTGGCTGGTGATCATCGCCAGCGTTTTTTGGTTTCAGCTCATTCAGTCTTGACGTGTATTATATAGATTCGAGTCCCCGTGAGCCTTGCTTTGTCCTCGTGCCATTACGTTTTGCGTCCGAGGCCTGGCCTCGGGCAGGCCTCGGTGAGCCTCGGAGCGCCTCGAATGCCAACAAACCTGCTTCATCATGGCCCCAAAAACAGGGCCGAAAAAAGTGCTCAAAACATGGCTGCGATAGAGAGACCTCGACAGTATAAGGCATGGCTCCGGCCGGCTAAATCCTACTCTCTTAGAACACAGACGTGCCAGAGGGACAAGGCAACTGGCCGGCCAAGACAAACAAACGAACAAACGAATTCAGGGACAAGCCAACCTCAGTGTAGGAAAGAAGAGCACCTGAACAACATCCGCTCCACGCACAGGCTCATCCGGGTCAAACGAAAGTGTGAGACTAAACTGGGATGGTGGACCGTGGGAGCTGTGGCTTGAGAGAGAAAAAGGGGCAGCAGAAAAACAAATTTCAGTGGATTATGCCGAGACATGAGACAACTGGTTGAATCTTGTGATGCAGGACCAGGCTGCACTGCAGCGAGACACTGGCGCGATCCAGTGGCACTCTTGGACAGCCCGGGGCGCCTGTGAGCAGCAAAGCCTGCGCACATGGATCGGAAGTTTCTTTTTCGGAGTTGATGGTGTCCAGCTGGCCCACTCGGTGGGTGAGTGGAGTTTGTTCTGGATTCCATAGCTGAACCCCTGTACAATGCACTGCAGGTATTGTACTGAGACGAAGACACTCGGCAAGCACCTGAACAGTTCTGCAGGTTACTGAGGAGGTACACTCATGAGTCTCCAGGATCACAACACTTTCCAAAGCTTGAATTAGATTCAACTACTGCGTCTTTTTTGTGGTCGGCGCCCGTTGCCTTTCGGCGCGTCGCACTTGAGACTCCCGAGTGGACCAGCAGGGATTCGAACCACCGCCGGCAGTCTGTCAGCGCTGGCAAGACCAACGCCATACCAACTGAGCCATCGGGTCGCCCTTAGATTCAACTACTGCGTCAGTAGTCTGGCTGCTGGCTTTAGATTTCATCTTTACTCTATGTGTATCCCCTTGCCCCGGAATTTTAATATTGGATGTTGTGCAAACGAGAAGCTTCTTAGATTGATCGCACATCGGCGCGTTCGATTTTTCACGTTTGTGTTTGTATCAACATTGGTCTTGGGGGCAGGGGGGCCTTTGTGGGTTGGTTTTTGTTTTGTCTTTGTGTTGTTTTGGTGGTTTGTTTTTGCTTTGTTTGTTTTGTTGTTGATGATGACGGCTTATTGGACTATGTACAGGTCCTTCACCAGTTCTCTTTTGTGGCCCTCAATCAGCAGACGGCCTCGCGTGTTGATTTGAAATTACTGCTTTTACAATGCCATAGAGCGTGTTAAACCACCTGGCGGAAGCCATGAAGGCGTTGGACGGAAAAAAAATCCGGGCGGGTTGATGCTTGCTCATGTTGCCGGAAGCGTTAGCATCCCCGAGATCACAAGGCGCAAGCAGAAAAGGTATAACGACTACCTATAGTCACTTCGAAGGAAACAACGGCAACCGAGTGGTGAAAAATAAAAAGTGAGACGGACAGTGAAACAAGAGCTATTGTGAGAAAGAGCTAAGTGAAACGGAAAGCATCAACTCGCCCGGAAAAGACTCAAGAAAAGCACGCTGGCTGCCAGTACTCTAACATGCAAGCAAACCTTGTTCAAACCTCAAATCTATGGGGCCGGGCGATGCCAGCAGGCGCGACAGGATTTTAAAGGAAAGTTCAATTAATTTCTTTTTTTGCGCGCGGCAACTGTAGGTTTCGTCCGCTGCCTAGAATTGAGGTTTGATTGGGGTTTGCTAGGGAGGCCCTTTTGAGCGAAGCCGGTTTTGAGAAGGTTTTCCGGGCCCAGAATTGGGTCCGTTAGAGCAAGCAATTTTGTAGATGATTTTGATTCTTGTTGGGGCAAGCGGGGTGCATATCGGTTGCTGCTTGAACCCACTTGAAGTTAGCTTCTTATTATTTCGTTGCGTTTGGTGGCTTGATTGTTTGCCGCTAAAAGAAGGCCCATCAGCCTTTTGCAGCCCTTAGGTGATTGCTTGAAGTGTTTCTTGCTGTTGAGGAGTTTGTGGGTTTTCGCGCAGGTGGCCGGCTTCGATTTGAATGATTGTATTGAATACTTTACTGCCCCTTGTTGGCCCCCCTTGCCCCTCTAGACTCCTACCGAAGTTTTCAGCCCAGAAAGAACATGAATAATGATCTTTTCAGTCAAGCCCGTTATTAATTAATAGTATAAATTTAAAACGGGATGGAGTAGGAATCTGCTTAGGAAAATATGTGGCAAGGTGACGTATTGAAGGCTTTCTTACTCCGCCATCATTTCGATATCGTGTCAATTACATTGGGTAAGTGAATTAAAACATAGCACGGAGTAGCGGAGTAGCGCGGAGTAGCGAAGGATTGGTGAATGTTGCCTGGGTGGTGCTGCATCGCAAATCGCCACATTGGAGCTAAAACATAGCACGGAGCAGCGGAGTAGCGCGGAGTAGCGAAGGATTGGTGAATGTTGCCTGGGTGGTGCTGCATCGCAAATCGCCACATTGGAGCTAGGGAACGGAGACAGCTGATACCACATGTGCGCTTTGAGGTTCCATTTCTGGGGCCGGAAAGTCAATTGAAATCAGGCTTCGCATGTGCGGGCCTCCTCTGTTCCAACTCTATATGCTGGTTGCTTAAATAAACGCAGTTGTAATTGTTTTTTTGTTGCACGGGTCGGCCTTTGCTGTGGATTTTGCGATTTTGCGGTCTCATTTTTGGTACCGCCAGACGGTCCCAAAAATAGGACCGTGAAAGTGCTTTTCTTTTGTTCTTTTACTAAGCTGTGCATGTGGTCCCCAAACCCCAGCAACTTTGGAGACACTTGGAAGTACCTTTGCAGTATTTTCTAACTTGGCGCCCTGTGACTGTGCACGTTTGAGAAATTGCTTTCCAGATCTGCGCTTCGCCATCCAGCAGAGAAACAAAGCAAAAAGCGAACGGGGCAGGGCCCAACAAAAACAACCACAACCAAGATTTGCCATCGCAACTCACAAAAAAGATGCACTACGAATTGGTTGCTACCCAGAAAAGTGAAACACTCGTTCTTAATTGTTGTTTCTGACAGACAACAAAGGAAAGCATAAGCTGTACGCTATTGCATTCTAGCCTCGTTCAGGAGCAGGGAAGAGTAACTGTTGGCGGCCAGATTGCAATTGTACCGCCCCCCCCTGCGGGGAGCAGCTCTGTGGCAGTGGCTAGCACATAAGGCAAGCTAGGTGACCAGCCAAAATCCGCCACTCACCAAGTTCATCACTGGGTAGACATGAATACCGTACCTCGAAGGAGAGAACAATCCTGGCACAACATGCAGAGTCAGCAAAACGTTGTGTAACAACCGGCCTGCGGCCGCAACTGGCTGGGGGATCTGCGTTTCGCCCTTTGTAGTTGTGTTTGTTGTTTTTTTGCGCTGTTGATTTGCCCGTACCGGACGAAAAAAAAAGAAGTGCGCGTGGAGCGGATGTTGGCAGTTTTGGTCTAGGTGAACCTTTCGCTGGATCCGAACAACGTCCTATGGCCAATCAAGATCCCTATGTCACGTGACATTGAGGTAAGTTCACCACTTCTGCCTCTTGGCCTTTCTATGTGGCATTCAAAGGGCCGGGACGTGTCAGCTGTGGACATCGCTGTCAGGAGTTGGAAGAACTTCCAACAACTCTCTACAATGTGCGCAGACTCACTCGTTAGGCGCAGTTGCTGGAGCACAACACGGCAGTCATGCAATGTTCTGCTTTAGCAGATAATGCTTTATCTGTAAGCAAACCTATTGGAGGGTGGGGACAATATGTTGTCAACACACTCCGTGCTCGTTGCGCCTGTCTTCTGTCTCGCTCCTCCGTTACTACAACGCGCCTGCCTCTCCTCTCATGCGCCACGCGTCTCTCGCCCACGCGTTAACTACTTTGTTAAACGGCCAGAGGTTGTTGACCTTGGGTTCATTTATGTTTGGTGTTTTTGTTACACCTGTTTGACAAAGTTATTCCTGCGGTGGAACATGTTTTGTCTAAAACAGTTGTGCCTGAGTTGAGTTCAATCTTCTTTGACTGACTTCGTAGTGTTTGTAAAAACACTCCTTGTGTATTATTTTGTGTACCAGTCAAATGTTTGAAAACAACTCAACCTAAACAACGGAACTGTTGGACAAATCATCCAGGGAACACACTTGAATTATTTGTTATGCTGTGCCCTTTTGGGTCAAGTGTGTTGGGGGCGTTATGTGCTGCCATGCGACCACGTGGACCCATTGCCAAGGGACAGGTTGCTTTCAAGAGCTACATCCTGTTGCCTTCAGGTGTCGCATCGCCACTGGCTTCAAGACCTTGGTGCTGTAACTGTTGTATCTTTGCATTGGGTTTTGGTGTGGTTGCATTTCCATCATTTTCGTGCTTTACAATTTCTTTTAGCACATGGACCAACTTCATTTGCGAACACTGACAGAGCTTTTACAGATTTTACTTGCTGTGGTCATTGAGTTGGTGCGTCGATTCGGTTTTGTGGCCCCTGGGACTCCCGAGCCGCCACAATTGGAAGTGTTTTGTGTGCAGCCCTGCTATTTTTGCGGTCTTCAATGTCGCAAAGAGCGAGCCCACCGGGGTCGCCATCGTTGCCACCAACACTTGAACACCCCTCATGTGGAACCCTGACCCCTCAGTTTTTTCCTGAATTGCAAGGTGGGGTTTTGGAGAATGGTTCAACTGGGTGCGGAGACATCGATGAAATTCCAACTGATGAGATTCCTACACAGCTGGATGGAACTTTTGAACTGTCAGGATTTCATGATTTGAATGATGATGTACCTGCTGGACAACTGTCATTTAGTAGTGGTGTTGGGTTTTCTGGAACGTTGCCTGATGACATCTTTGACAGTTTCAGGTTGACCGCTGATGACAGGTTGGATTTGGACACCAGCAGATTGGAGAAGGAATCCATGCAGGTGGACGAGACATCTGTGGGCGTTACACCTAAGTTCACTGCAGCCAGGTGCGCGCTGAACCTATCAGAGGATCAGCCGAAGTTTTTCTGGGAGACGGATCCTTTTCTGAAAACAATTTTTGGACATGATGATTTGGCTCCCCCTGCACTCAAGCGTCCTGATATCCCAATTGACATCACTAGTGTGCCTGCTGACAATGTGTGGGACTATTTGCAGAGACCAAAGCGACGCGCGGCTGGAGGTCTCTGCCCAGAGGTGATCAGACATGTGGAACTCAGGGACGAGCAAGACAAGCGAGCCAGTGTGATTTCTAACTGGTCTAGTCTGGTATGCATTGACTTGGATGCTTTCTCAGTCGGGAATGCTTTGGCAGTGAACCCTGATGGGACTACGCATGCTGACGTTGAGAGCAGCTTGCAAGCTTGCTTTGCTAGGAAGGCTACAAGCACGTTAAGCAAGAGGTTCTATGCTTTGAACAAGTTCGTGAATCATTGCTGCAGGCATGGTTTGCAATTTTTTCCAATACGTGAACATGTGGTCTTTACATATCTGCAACAGCTGAATGGAGATCCAGCCACTGCTCCTTCAGCAGGGCGTTCACTGTTGGAGGCCGTGCGGTTTGCCAGCGGCGTCTTGGGCTTGAAGGGTGACATCGGAGAGCTTGGCACTACAAGGATTGATGGCCTAGCGGTTGAACTGACCAAGCGAGCGGGGCCCATCCAACAGGCTGCTCCCTTATCAGTACAACAGGTGATGTTGCTCGAGAGGCTTGTGGCTGAATCTGAAGATTTGCAGGACAGGGTCATTTTCGGTGGCATGCTTGTTCTGCTTTATTCATGTGGAAGATTTTCAGATGGGCAGAGAGCCATCAACATGATTCTTGATTGTGATTTGGATATAGACGCCATTGAGTGTCAGGGTTACCTGGAGCTGCAAGTCCTTGGACACAAGGGTGCAAGGAGTGACATCTTGAAGAGGACCTTCCTGCCGCTAGTTGCTCCAATTTATTCATTGGCGTCAGTGGATTGGTTCAGAGCTTGGGTGCATGCAAGGGAGGCTCTTGGTCTCACGATCGGAGGAAAGCTCAACAAACCTTTTTTGTGCAGGTTCAGACCGAGCGGCGAAGTTATGGATCAAGAGCTCACCTCAGCCGAGTGCAGTTCTCTTCTGCGCCGGGCGTTGAAGTTGACTGGGGAACAAGCTGCCGCCATCAAGTCTCACAGCTTGAAGACAACTGCGTTATCCTGGTGTTGCAAGCATGGTGTCGACATTCATGCACGCAGGCTGTTGGGGCATCACTTGGACCCCAGTGTGAAGTCACCTGAGACTTATGGGAGAGATTCCATGGCGCCCGCAGTGAGGCTTTTTGAGGGCACTCTGGCTGACATTAAGCGTGGGCGATTCAGGCCTGATGAGACCAGATCAGGTCGCTTCGTGAAAGCAGCAGAGGAGCAACCTGCAGCAACTGAGCGCGACGAGGAGGACGATGACTCTGACAGTGACTATGAGCCGAGCAGCAGTGACTCGGACGACAGTGACGAGGTCCCTTTTGGTTTGCCCTCGGAATCCAGCCTCCTGTGGCACTTGGTCATGCCCGACTTGAGACCAGGTTTCTTGGAGGTTCCTGAAGGGACCATGGTGTACAGGAACAACGTGTCCGGAGTTCAGCACTTGAAGAAGGCAGGTGGACTGAAGTTCATGTGTGGTCGGAGGCAGAACGACCGCTACTCCTTCTATGCTGGGAAGCCTGTCAAAGGTGTCGCACTGTGCGATCACTGTATGAGCAGCAGAGAGGTTCAGACTGCTGGCCATGAGTAGTTTTCGATTTCATGCATGTTTTTCTTTGAGAGATGTTTTATCGGAAATGGTTTGGCAACCAAATGTTTTTTTTTTCATTGCTCAACCTTTTTTTTCCGAGAGATTTCCTGATGTCGTCTTGTTTTGTCGTTGCACTAGCTCATTGGCCAGTCATTACACCCGCTGGGCGTTGCAATGTGCGACGACTCAGGGGTGGAGCGACTCATGTAGGCTTTTGAGGGTTGTCAATGTGACAGCCGACACCGGCCGATGTTGCCGGGTGACATATGTGTCAGGCATCAGAATTGCGCCTCGATGTGAGGGAACAAAAGATTGGAGTGTGGCCAGTCTTGTTCAGCGCAAAGATGTAAGTGGAGTGCTGCATGTTGCATGATGTGTAATCCACTTGAATTAGGTGACAAGTCATTTAATTTTTTTCGATGAACCGGTTGGCTCCAGCTGGGAAATTTGTATCCCGCATATGTATGAGACTGCAACGGGTTTGGTTTCATGTTTGTGGCATGAGAGATCCTGCACATTTTTCATAGCACGGTCAGCACAGTTTATCAGAGCCATTTGCGAACTTTTCACATGTGGAGAGTTTTGACATTTGTGCGCATGCTGCATGTGGCTGCACACAATCAACATGAGTTTAACCATACATGAACGTGCATCGTTCAATAGGTTGACGTGTGAGTTTTAGTCAACGCGTGAGTGGTTCTGACGCGATGGCAGGTTATGCTGAGTCTAACGCAAGTTTTAGACACAGAGCGAAACAGATTCAGCTGACAGACGATCATGTTCAGGCATTGCATGACAATGACATCAGGTGTTTCAATCATATGGCCTTTGCAGTGAATGGGCAGCCAGGACAACTGGATCAGGAACGTTTCCAGAATCTGGTGGACATAGTGCGCCCTCGAGGTGCGTCAATGGGAGTTCAGGCGAGCATCAAACAGCTGGCATACGAAGCTCTCACCATTGCCGTTGCAGCCATAAAGCAACGCGTCGAGACCCCAGATGAGGCTGCAAAGAAACTTCCACCTCAGGAAAAAGACCAGAGACTGCAGACCATCAAACGGAAGATCACAGGTTTTGACATCAGTGGTGAATACGAGCCTGGTCATTGTGTCATAGACGCTTTTGCTGGCATGTTGGATGAAGGAGTTTTGAAATTTTTTCCTCTTAGCAAATGTGTATCAAGAGAGCAGGAACTGCAAGCTGTCAGGGCCGACAAGCAGGTGGTCATGTTGGAAAACCAACAATTGCAGGTCAAGGCAAGAGGTGCCGAGCTTACGACAGACCTCGGGAATGAGCTCAGAATTCATCATGCTTTTATTAGACGCGGCATTGCACTGGATATGGCGAACCTTGCAAGCTATCATGTTCATGAGAAAGTCATGCGTGAGTTCATGAGCCACCTCACGCGCACTGCTCCTCATGGATTCAAAGGCCCGACAATTGAATCAGTTTTGAGGGCAGACAGGGAGCTTTGGACACGAGTTGCAGACAAGGTCAGGTCGAACCTTAGGCCAGACAAAAACGATGTTTTGCCTGTTGATGCAGCTTTGGAAGAACTGTACACATCAGCATCAGTGGTTTTTCATTTGCTGCCTTTGCCCGCTGCAAGTGGATCCAATCAGAACCTGAAACGCAAGACACCTGAGGAAGAGGCTCCCAAGAAACCACAGCCGACAGGTGAGGCAGCAGCTGGCAACAAGAACCGCAGAGGCAAGCGCAACAGGCAGGGCAGGACAAACTTGCCCACACCGTTACATGGTTACAGTGGTTGGAACAAGCAGAAGCAGAGGATTTGTTACAACTACAACATGGTGCATGGATGTTCAAACACAGTCTCAAAGGATGGCAGTGTTGAGAAGTGCAACCGTGGCACTCACCAATGCGTCAAGTGCCATGGGAAGCACAGTTTGACGCAATGCAACAACTGAAAGCCGTGTGTCCTGCCGAGCGAGTCGACAGATAAGAAGCTGTCATTTTCCGGATTTTTCATTGTAGAGGTTTTTTGTGGCAAGGCAGGACTGTCTCGAGCACTACGCCGAAAGGGTTTTCAGGTTTTCTCCATCGATCACAAGGCAGTCAAGGGACTTCCAATTTTGGTGATTGATCTGAATTCAGATGCGCAGTTAAAAATTTTTGAGGAGCTTTTGGAGCAGCGAAGACTGCTTTATGTGCATTTTGCACCACCTTGCGGCACAGCTTCAATGGCGCGAGCCATCAAATTGGGACTGCGGCATGAACCACAACCACTGCGCAGTTTGAAACATCCAATGGGCATACCAGGCCTCAAGCATGTGCAGCGCGAACGCGTCAAATTGGCCAACAGGCTGTACAAACTCACCAAAAAGTTTGTGGCAATCCTTCATGAGAGAGGAGTTGGGTGGTCAGTTGAAAACCCGGCAAGTAGTTTGATGTGGATTACAACACCATTTGTGGAGTTGATGGAATCCCTGGGATCAGACATTCACGGTGTCCTTTTTCATACATGTATGTTTGGAGCAGCACGCAAGAAGCAGACAGCACTGTGGACCAACATCAAGGAGCTGCTTCAGTTGAACCGTGTTTGCTCTGGCGATCACACACATGCGGCTTGGGGCATCACTGCCGATGGCAATTTTGCGACATCAGATGAGTGCGCCTACAACAGTGAGTTGTGTGCGCATTGGGCTGCAGCCATTGAAAACTATGCTCTAAACAAAGGCCTGCAGCCTGTACCTGACACTTTGGATGAAGTGAGCCCACAAAATCTGCAGTTGCGCGACACAGCCAACAAGGCGATTCTTGGGGCCCTGCCACGAGGCAGTAAACTCCCACCTCTTTTGTCAGATTTTTTGCATGAGGTTATTGTGCCAGTGGCCCAACACTCCTTCTTACAGCATGCAAAGCCGGGAGCCCGCATAGCTGACAACAATGTTTTTCCAAAAGGTGCGCGGCTGCTACAAGTGTGGAATGCTCAGAAGGGGGTTGAAGTGGGACCAAATGAAACAGGCAATGGCAATGACGTTTTGGAAACGTCTCCTAACAGTGCGTTGATGGCACGGGTGGGTGTGCCGGTTGAACCTCTTGAATACGTTGCTTGGGCGGTGAAGTTGGTTCACCCCAATTTGCAAAGGGTGAAATTACCTGTACACCTTGAGAAAGCCATAGCCATGTGTGGGCCTGGCATGTCCATTGAGCTGCGGCGTGTCAGGATACAATGGACCAAGTTGATGGTGAAGTTGATGGAGGAGACCCGAGCCATTGAAGAGGAGCTCATTGGAATCAGGCCCAGTCACTTGACGACAGTCTTGAAGGGCAAGCGTTTTGGCTTGCTCCATGCTGCGCTGGAGAGCTGCGGGTACCCTGACTCGAATGTGGCACTGGAAGCTAGTGTTGGTTTCCCTTTGGTTGGATGGATGCGTTGTGCAGGTGTTTTTGCAGCCCATGTGAGGCCACCCGAACTTCATGTTTCTGCTCTTGACACTATGGCTGCATCTTACTCAGCTCGAACAGTGGCAAGCGTCAAGCCTTCTAGTGACCCCGACTTGGACACTCAAGTTTGGGAGGCCACACTTGCCGAAGTGGCAGGTGGGACACTGGATGGCCCTTACGACGTTTCAGAGCTGCCAGCTGGACATGTGGTGTCACCACGTTTTGGCATACGGCAGGGCCAGAAGACTCGGCCTATTGACAACATGAGCGTGTCAGGCATAAACAGCACAGTGGGCCTTCCAGAAAAACTTCAGGTTGACACCATTGACGAAGTGGCCGCTATGGTGAAGCGCTGCATGCAACTTCATGGCAGCTCTTGCCGCTTAGTTGGGCGCACCTACGACTTGAAGCGGGCATACCGCCAATTGGGGGTGTCCGAGGATCATTTCCGTTTTTCTTGGATAGCTGTCTGGTCTACGGACCACAAGGAGGTCAAGCTTTTCAGAATGAAGGGGCTTCCCTTCGGAGGGACCGCATCGGTCGCATCATTCCTAAGAATGTCTAAAGCCTTGAAAGAGCTTGGAATCCTAGGAGCCTCTCTTGTCTGGTCGTCCTTTTTCGACGACTTCGTCTGCGTCAGCAGACCTGAGGACATGAGTAGTGCTGATATGATTGTGCGATTCCTTTTCCAGTCCACAGGCTGGGTACTCTCTGAAGATCCTGAGAAGGATGTTGGCTTCAAGCCGTGCTTTGCGGCGCTGGGCGTTGAGTTTGACTTGTGCTCTGTGCATGAGGGAACATTGCGTATTGGGAACACAGCCAAGCGCAAGGCTGAGCTGCGGACTATGGTCGAGAAACACTTGGCAGACAACTCTCTCAGTGCCGATGACCCAGAGCGGCTCCGGTCCAGGCTCATGTTTGCAGAGTCGCAGATCTTCGGGCGGTCTTCCAAGTTGGCTTTGCGGGCCATTGGGCTACCCGCTGTCAAAGGGGTGACGTGTGCGCCTTTGACTGATGACGTGAAGTTCGGTCTCCAATGGATGTTACAGAGATTGGTGGACTCGCCACCTAGAGAGATACGTGCACAAGATGGGGGCACACTTTTTCTCTTCTTGGACGGAGCCTGCGAGCCTGCCTCCAACGCCGACGAGGGCCTGATCACTTCGGTAGGCGCAGTACTGGTGAATGAGTGTGGTCAAGGATTGCACTTTTTTGGATTGCGATTGCCCAGGGAGGTGACGGGACCATGGTCCGGAGGCAGCAAGGAGAATCTTGTTTTTGAAGCGGAGGTGCTGCCCTACACCCTGGCGTTGGCATGCTGGGGCGAGACACTAAAGGGCAAACATGTCTTGGTTTTCATAGACAATGATGGTGCCCGGCATAGCTGGATTCGAGGCACGGCAGATTCTTTTTACGCTCGGGCCATGATTCACAGTGGAACACTTCTTGAGTCCGAGTTGGATGTGTCGACTTACTTTTGCAGGGTTCCGACCCATAGTAACCTTGCAGACGGACCTTCCCGTCTCGATTTCAGTTTGTGCTGGAAAATTGGAGCAGTGGAGACAGTGGTTGACACCGCAGTCTTGTGCCGTTACGCAGTGCCTCATTGATGGATGGCGAATGAATATGTGGGGTGGTGACGGCAAGTTGGAAATACCCCGACTTTTCAGAAATGCTGTGAAAAGAAAAAGAAGAACCGTTTGCACTGGCGTCATCTTCGGAAGCATGTTCATTTTGATTTGCGGAGAAATGCGATCTTGTTTGGTGCGAGTGCATGTTTTGTTTTATTGATGTAATGATGTTTTTAACATGGAGTTGCAGTGCGTGGTTCAGTTTCGAGACATAGAGTAGGATGCGTGGTTTGAGGCTTGGCGTTTTAGTATGTGTGGGAGCTGATTGTTTGTAATCCTCAGGATGTGGAATGTGCAATGAGCTTTAAAGTTTGCGTAAAGATAAGCAATGTTCTGCTTTAGCAGATAATGCTTTATCTGTAAGCAAACCTATTGGAGGGTGGGGACAATATGTTGTCAACACACTCCGTGCTCGTTGCGCCTGTCTTCTGTCTCGCTCCTCCGTTACTACAACGCGCCTGCCTCTCCTCTCATGCGCCACGCGTCTCTCGCCCACGCGTTAACTACTTTGTTAAACGGCCAGAGGTTGTTGACCTTGGGTTCATTTATGTTTGGTGTTTTTGTTACACCTGTTTGACAAAGTTATTCCTGCGGTGGAACATGTTTTGTCTAAAACAGTTGTGCCTGAGTTGAGTTCAATCTTCTTTGACTGACTTCGTAGTGTTTGTAAAAACACTCCTTGTGTATTATTTTGTGTACCAGTCAAATGTTTGAAAACAACTCAACCTAAACAACGGAACTGTTGGACAAATCATCCAGGGAACACACTTGAATTATTTGTTATGCTGTGCCCTTTTGGGTCAAGTGTGTTGGGGGCGTTATGTGCTCCCACCCTTGTTTTTCCCACCCTGCAATAACGCATTTAGGCTTATGTTCCGTCCTCATGTTGGACGTCTTTTTTGGCCTAACCCTAGCCGTCTGGTGACGGCAAGTTGGAAATACCCCGACTTTTCAGAAATGCTGTGAAAAGAAAAAGAAGAACCGTTTGCACTGGCGTCATCTTCGGAAGCATGTTCATTTTGATTTGCGGAGAAATGCGATCTTGTTTGGTGCGAGTGCATGTTTTGTTTTATTGATGTAATGATGTTTTTAACATGGAGTTGCAGTGCGTGGTTCAGTTTCGAGACATAGAGTAGGATGCGTGGTTTGAGGCTTGGCGTTTTAGTATGTGTGGGAGCTGATTGTTTGTAATCCTCAGGATGTGGAATGTGCAATGAGCTTTAAAGTTTGCGTAAAGATAACACTCGAGAACTCCTGTCTGGCCATGTCCTTCAAGAAGATGCTCCACCCATCGACACTCCGGAGCTGGCTCTCTGGGGTCGAGGAGACCAAGTTCTTGGACTGGCTCAATGTGAACCTCATGACGTATGTCCTCTCAAATCATCGACGACGACACCATTTAGTTTTTGGGATATGACCCATTCATGGCCAACACCGTCACTGACTATCATCTTGCATCTGCGTCAAAATAACTGCACCAAGCTGATTTTCGTTAGTATTTTCTTTTGTCATGCCATGACGTGATCTGCAGTGCATTCATTTTGTGTTTCTAGTGCGGGTTCAATTTGATTTATGATGTTTGGCTCAGGCGATCTCGTCGCGTAGTGGTATAATGCCCGTCTCAGGACCGTGCATAGACAGCTAGCCGCGGATCGATTCCCCCCGGGTACGGGGCCGCGATCGTGACGTGGTAGACGAGTAAGTCTCAAGTACCGTAGACCCGCCGAAAGGCAACGGGCTCGGGCAAAAAAAAAATGATTTGTGATGTTTGGCTCACAGCTCTGAGCTTCCTCTGGTGTTTTTCAGGGCCTGGGTTTCAGCTGACCAGGAACTGACGTGCTGATCACCTGCCGTGCATTTTTTGTTTAGTTGTTTTTGTTTTGTTTGTGTTTGTTTGTACCAAAATCAAGAAGATCATTTCCCAAGTGCGTTCATTGATGGCCCAAAACAAAGTGCCAATCAAGGAGTTGCAATCCTTGGTGGGACGCCTGCTCTGGCTCACATCAGCCTGGCACTACTTGCGGCCACTGTTCATCCCCCTTTACTAAGCCTTGGGTCGCCTACCTGTCACCATGATTGGCATGGACCATGTGGTCTTCCAATGTTTGGTTTCCAACCTATCCTCTGATCTGGTGCTGCGGGTCGACCTCACGCATCAACATCATTCGTTGGCCAAAGATGTCACCCTTGTTCGTGTGGCCAACACACACGTCAAAGCTCTGACCGAGGTTCAAAACTTGCATTTGCGTTCAAGAAGGATTTGGATCGGTGTCCTTGACCCAAATTCTCCTCATCGTTTGCTCGAAGATGACGCACATTCTGCCTTGGCAGTCTGGGAACGTTTGTTCACCTCGACGTCATTCTCCCTTTCGATGACACCACCAGTCCGTATCGAACTCACCGCTACAGCTGACGCAATGGCTACCAACATGGTTGCTGGTATTGGTGGTGCTGTGTTTTTCCCCAATGGGTCCTGCCACTGGTTTCAAGTCCAAATACATCTTGACGAAGCCATGACCCTCTGGGACTGGGTTGAATCGGACATGCAGAAACACATTGCTGCATGGGAATTGCTTGCACAGTATGCCCTGACATTTTGTATCCACACAGCTTTGCCCACTTGTCGTACTGCAATATCTTGCATACAAGGCACTGATAACAGTGCGGCGGACGCTGCAAGTGCTAAAGGATGGCTACAGTCCTGGCTCCGTTCTTTGCTTTCATGCGTCGATACCAGATCTACCCCAGGATTACGCATATTCCTGGACATCTCAACGACATCGCGGATGCTTTGAGCAGATTCAAACAGCCTCTTCCTGAACCCCTCACACTGTCTAATCAGTGTGAGGTGCGGTGGCAGACGCTGCTTGATTCTGCACCTATTTTCACTGCACAGTCTGGCCGAAGATGGCCTCACAGATTTGGCATCGGTGAAAAATGGTTTTTGCAGAGTCCGCTGACTCAGGGTTCTTCAATCGATCGTTTGTGGGGTTTCTGCTCCGGCTGGTCGATTTTCGATCTAAATTGGTGTTTGGTACTCCCCACTTCACTCACTTCATTTTACTACCCCGTTATTTGGGTATGTATATCTGAGTTGTTTGGGGGTGCCTGTGATCTGTACCATATTGTAGTTAGGTGGACCCGCTGGTACCATGCACGGTTGTACAAACTCACAGATCTGATTGCACCACGATCAAAATATGCGCGATTGAACCCTGCTGCTGCAAGAACCATGTTTTGTATGTTCATTTATAGCTATGAAAGTTGAAGCAACGGAAGCAGTACTGTGAACGTGTTTTGTACGTGTACATAGTTGTTCACAGGGATGACCCGGAAGTTCCATTCTCCGTGGCCGTTTTGCTTCAAGCTTTCATACGTTCTTTTCACCCTCCACCTTCCCCTTTACTCCACCATTGTGGAAATGGATGAGGTGAGTTGGGTGTTTGGTACTCCCCACTTCACTCACTTCATTTTACTTTTCATGTACTTGTTCATGGATGTTTTATTTAATCAACCCCGCAACGCTGGTTCAAGCACTTCACTAACAACATCATTTGCTTTGGTCTTGAATTTTCACAACATCAAATTTATTTCAAGCTGCTTTCACTTCACTTGGATAGATTCCTCAACACATTCATGGCATGACATTGCAGGTGGTTTCACTGGTTTGTTTCAATTCTGACTCGCTTTCACTCCTCCATCATGGACCGCGCCAAGCCTATTGTTGAGACCCTAACTTTGGGCGAACTTCTGCAGCTTTTGATTTTCATCGTGAATCGCATTCAAGCTTTGACGTATCAAACTCCACCACCAGTGACACCACCAGCTCAGCCTCCTCTCAGGGCACCATTTGTCGTATGTGAATTTCATTGCCAGCTTTGCCAGGCACCTTGTAACCGTAACAAGGCAGGTCATTCCCATCACCGATATGGCCTTCACCGTAACTTGTGAAGCATGACAAATTTTAGGGATCAAGATTTTGAATCAGAATATTCATGGACGGTCATTGGTTCTGCATTACCACTGCCAGAGTTTTTGCATTCAGCGTCACCGAGCACAGCAGCTCCTCCGCTGAAGACTGGAGGACTTCCATTGCCGAAACCCCGGGCTCACCCACAAAGTCTGCGTTTTGACAATGTGGCATTCAGTAATCATTCAAGCTTGGAACAGGGAATGCATTCAATTGACTCTGGATATCCTGATGACAGGGAATCAGGTCCATCAAAGCGATGTCGAATGTCGGCACCTTCAAAAACTCAGTCTGGCACCAAATCGGATGCTCTGGTTCGTGTTAAGCAATCGAGCTCTTCTAGCGTTGTCCTTCGACTGTGGTCTCAAATTGTGGAGCTTTTGACACCATATTCACAACTGATCACACAAAGATCACCATGTTGCGCGGATTTTAGACAATTTTGCTGCCACCACGTTGGCCAAATATTTCCAATCCATTGTTGGGTTTATTCAAGCTTGCCATTCACTGCATATTGACCTGGACAACCTGACACCTGTGCAACTTGCGGATGCGCTTTTGGAGGTGGGGGTGGCTCGATCCTCAGATGGCATCTTCGCTTAAGATGGTTTAATATGCTGACTTGGAAGCCCAGACGGGCTCGCTATGCAACCATCCGGGTTGCCGCCACTTTGGTCGCGCTTCTGACCACTAGCCATCAGAGCTGCTTCGGGTATGAAAAAGAGATAGCATGTCAGCTGAAGCGTCCATCACTGCGTCAAACTTTGTGCAATTTGAGTGAATTGCTTTCAGCCAGCACAGTCATTATATTTTTCCTATATACTCCCAGAAACGATTTCTTGTATACTCTGATTTAATCAACCATTCCAAAGGGAATTTATCACAACCTCACTTATGGATATCTCACTGATAATATACACAAGCTTGCTGTATCTCCCTCTTTTTTGGCCCAGAGCTTAATTCAATCATTTGCAGCTACTTGGCATGGCAGAAGCTTTCATGTCCATGCTTATTTTCATTATTGACCACGCAGAACTTCATCAGTGCATTGAATCACCACATCAGACCATTTGACCATGATCCACACAATTATCATTTTCCATGGCAGGTTCACATTTTGTGATATCTCGCCTCCTGAACGCGCCATGCTCGAGGGACCTCCATCAATGGCAGACTCCTCGCTGGAAGCTCACCTTAGCTTTTATGGTGTCTCTCCAGGACTTATTTCCAGTTTAGTGGTCAATGGATGGACCATGGATTCCTTTGCTGCATGCACGGACTCAGCTTCAGGGTTCGATGACTTGTGGGGTGAAATGTTTCCCGATCAATCCGAATTGGCATCAGTTCAGAAAGCTTCCATCAAAGCAGCTTGGAAGAAGCTTCAACAGCTGCCTGCACAATCGCAAGCGCCTGACCCAGCCAGCCAGGCTGCAAGCTCAGTTAGCTCTTGGAATGAGGTGAAAGCACCCAAACTCAGTGCTCAGACTTTGGCGGAATTGAAACGTGCCTTTTTCAGAGATTATCCATCGGAAGTTCTTAGTCCGGACACTTGTCCATCAGGTAGACTGATTGCAATGGCACACGCCCAGGTCCAGAAGAAAGACATTGCTTGGATCCCATGGAAATATAGATTATCCCACCTTGAGGAAGTTCAAATGGCTCGACCCACCAAGATGGCCAAAACAGAGCATACCAGCCTTCACCAATTGCTCTGGGACGACCCTCCCAGCATAGAAGTATCTAATGCCAACATTGGCTACAATGGCATCCGCAACATGCTGGAGTTGAATGCCACGGCTTATGCATTAGTTCAGGGTTGCCATCTGGGTCGCATCAAGGCGTACAACCTGAAATTCCTAGGCTTGATTTCCACCCGGCTCGACTCAGACCTGGGACTCCGCCATGTCACAGTCCTGGAAGCGCAAGCAGCAGACCGGATGTTATGGGGTATCATAGCTGACCTAACTACGGATAAAGGATGGAACCTTAATGACAGCTTACATGAGGTTACAGTTTTGCGCTCAGACATGATTGGCCTTCTCCAACCGAGACCAAAGACTATCCATAGGCCGTTTCCATCAGAAACCACCACGGTTTCGAACACCAAAGGCAAAGGACGTGGCAAATCCAAATCAAAAAAGGGTGCTAGCAGTGGTAACCCCAAATGGGTTTCAACAATCCAGATGCAGGGAACCTCTCATTCTATTTGTATGAGATATCAATCCGGGACTTGCTCCAATTCCAACTGCAGGTTCAAGCCACGTGTGTGCCATACCAAAGTCAGATGGCACCGCTTGTGGTGGCAACCATAGCGCAAAGGATCACAATTCTACACCTCATTGACCACCTCCTGCAGCTCTGGATGTTTCACCAGTGAATATTTCATCAAATGATGATTCACAGACACTGGATTCTACGCAGTGCAGCTCTCAGTTGCATGATTCGGT